TTGGGATCGATAGGTGAAAAAACAGCAAGGGTTTATAATATTCACAGCTATTGTGCATTCATAAAAATATAAACAATCAATAGAAACTACACAATATCAAAGTAAGAACATGGAATGAAAAATACAGCAATATTCAATCCACAAAGCACATAGATTTAACGTTGTTCAGTCACAAATCGTGACATATATCCACAGGAGAATGACGTGAGACTTTACTTACTGATTTGGAAATATTACAAGGTGAAATCGAGCTTAAAATATCAATTTCCAGCAGCCCTTTTTCACTCTAAACTGAGCCAAAAAAACAAGGCTCAAAAAACACCAAAAAATGAGTTATCTTTAACACTTTCTCTCACTAAACAAGGCACACAGCCAACCTACAATGGAGTTTAAGTCTTTTGCGCACTTTCTCTCTCTAACCTACAATATAGTTTAAGTCTTTTGCTCACTTTCTCTATCTAAAACAAAGCATACCAAGCTCTTAAGAGAAAACCCAAATTGCAACCCAATCTCTTTATCTTTGCTCTCACTCTTTCTCTCTCTAAGCAAAAGGGTTTTAATCCCTTTAGATGAGTAAAGTTCCAACAACACCACGACCATTAGATTAGATGCAATCCAATGGCCGAAAATAAAAGAGAGGAAAGTTAAATAAAACTCCCATATGTGTGTTTTATTTTCATAGATGTAACAATCTTCTACTTGAAGACAAATCACAAAGTCTCTGAAATAATCAACAATGCACCACTCTCCATCCACCCGAGGTTACGTCTCCTCCAACCCCGAAAGTCTTCTACATAACATATTTTTTTCAGTTGAGACAACCCTCGTCAACATATCAGCATGGTTCTTCTTAGTGTGAATCTTGTGCACCTGCAAATCTCTACGCTCAAAGGCCAACCAAATAAAATGATATCTAACATCTATATCCTTTTCCTTTGAGTGATAAGCTGCATTTTTAGCCAGATGAATCGCACTCGGGTTATCACAATGTACAACATATTTATCATGTTTCACCCCAAACTGGCCAAGTAACCTTCTCAACCAAATCATTTCCTTCGCTGCCTCAGTCAATGCCACATACACAGCTTCAGTTGATGACAAGGCAACAATTTCCTACAACCTTGACATCTAGCTGACTGCACCACTACCAATATTGAAAATGTATCCAGTGGTAGATCTTCTAGTATCACGACATCTTGTATAATCTGCATCTATGTAACCAACAGCTTCTAATGATGGATTTCCAAAACACAAGCATACATTTCGTATCTCCTTCAAATACCGAACAATCCACTTAAGTGTTTGCCAATGTTCCCAACCTAGATTAAACATAAATCTGGAAACAACTCCCACTGCATGGGCAATGTCAAGTCTAGTACAAACCATTGCATACATCAAACTACCACTACACAAGTATATGAAACATTCTTCATCGTACTTTTATATACATCATTCATTGGATAGTCTCTTTTAGACAACTTGAAATCTGCAGCTAATAGTGTAGTAACAGGTTTACAATCAATCACATTGAAGCGCTCAAGAACTTTAAAAATATATTCAGATTGACTTAACCAACGCTTACCTTGCTTTTTGTTCCTATGGATGTGCATGCCCAAAATCTTATTGGCTGGTCCAAGATCTTTGGTGGTAAAATACTTAGACATATCAAGCTTTAAAATTGTTTTTACTCAGATCATTGCTAGTCACAAGCATATCATCAACATAAAGCAACAAAACAATAAAAGAATCATATGTTGGACCCTTGAAGTACACACAATTATCAAAATCGTATCTAAAATAACCTTCACCCAGCATAAAACTGTCAAATTTCTTATACCATTGCCTAAATACTTGTTTCAAACCATACGATCCCTTTTTCAACTTGCAAACCAAGTTATGATTGATTTTGTTCTCAAAACCTTCAGGTTGACATATAAATTTCTTCATCAAGATCACCATGCCAGAAGCCAATTTTAATATCAAGTTGTTCTAGCTCCAAATTCAAGTTAGCAACCAAAGATAAAACAACTCTAATAGAGTTATGCTTAACAACAGGAGCAAAAAAATCATTAAAATTAACACCTAGTTTTTTTCCATAACTTTTCACCACAAATCTGGCTCGTATAAGACCATTTGCCTCCCACTTAATAACATATACCCACCTATTCTTCAATACTTTCTTCCCATGTGGAAGTTCTACAAACTCCCATGTATCATTCTTATGTAAAGCATCAATCTCCTCCTTCATTGCCTCATGCCAACTTTCAGCAATAGTGCAATAAATGGCCTCCTGAAAAGACTCAGGTTCACCACTATCTATATACAAAGCATTATATAAGGAAAGAGAATACATTTGTATGAGCTTGTGAGGGCGTGTGGATCTCAATTCTAGCTCAAGTGTAACTAGTAGTCCTTCTTCATCTTGATTTAATTCAGTGTCATCCTCATAACTAGCATCACCTACATCAAAACTGTCTTGAGCTTGAGCTTGACTCTCTTGCACTTGCCGAAGTGAAACAATGGGATTTGGTTCTTGTATATCCACAATAAGCCTTTCTTGTTTTGGGTCTTATTGCTTCTTTTCAGCAAACATTACCTTATCATTAAAGAGAATATCTCGACTTCTAATAGTCTTATTTGCAATAGGATTTCAAATCCTATACCCTCTATCATCACCACCATACCTAAGAAAAACACATCTTCTTAACTTGCCATCCAGCTTGGCTCTACTTTCACTAGGCACTTGAACATAAACTTCAGACCCAAATGTTATTAAATATTCATATAACACACTTTTACCTCTCCATGGAATTTTAGATATTTCACCATTTAAGGGTGCACTAGGAGATCTATTAATCAAATATACAGCTGTATTAGCAGCTTTTGTCCAACATTGCTTACCAAGACCAGATTGTGATAGCATGCTTCTTACTATTCCAATGATGATCGTATTCATCATCTCAATGACACAATTTTGTTGTGGTGTCCCAAGAACAGTCTTTACTCTGCGAATGCCATTATCTTTACAAAAAGTATCAAAGACATTCGAGCAATATTCTCCACCATTATCAGTTTGCAAACATTTTATAAATCTCTATGTTTCTTTTTCAACCTTGGCTTTAAAAATTTTGAAAACTTCAAAAACTTGATCCTTAGATGCCAATGGTAAACCAACACTTTATAGAATAATTATATAAAAAGTGACAAAATAAGAAGCTCCACCAAGAGATTTAACATGAATAGGGCCAAAAATATCAGAATAAATCAATTATAATGCTTTACTTTTTATATGAGATTCATTTCGTTTAAAACTAACTATACGCTGCTTACCCATGACACAATGATCACAAAATAAAAAAAAGTAATGCTTAGAAGAAATAAGATTTTGAGTTTGCAATACCTTCATACCATGCTCACTGAGATGGCCCAAACAGTTATGCCAAATCTGCATATCGTCATGCTTACTAGCTGCAGCGACAATCTTCCCTGTAACATCATTCATTTGAGTTGTGCCATGAAGAGTGTAGAGACTCCCATCTTTTTTCCCTTTCAACATTGTCATACATCCTCTTGAAATCTTCAAGACTCATTTCCAAAAGTTACTATAAAACCAGAGTCATCTAACTGCCTCCTAAAATGAGATTTTTCTTCAACTCAGGAACATGCCTCACATTTCTCAATGTGTGCTTCTTTCCATCTGATTGCATGATAACAACATTCCCAATGCTTTTACAACCTTGATCATCACTAAGATAAACCAAGCTACCATCAACATCTGTGTAGGATGAAAAATATGACATTTCTGGACAAATATGAAATGAAGCACCAGAGTCTAAAACCCAAGTATTTGTAATAGACAATGTTGTGTATGAAACACTAAAAGTGACCCCATCTTCACCATCTGAAACTGTAATTGCTTCGGCATGGCTATCTTTGTCATTGCCCTTTTGCTTATTCTTGAAAGTATAACAATCTTTCCTTGTGTGCCCAAGTTTCTTGCAATACCAGCAAGTAACATTCTTACCCTGTGACTCGGACTTGCCTCTGCTATGAGATCTGCCTCTATTAAATCCATAGGGTTGGTCTCTATATTGTGTTCTTCATCTATCTTCTACTGCCAATACTTGATTTGATTTGGCAAGTATTTGTGTGGATGTCTTTCTAGTCTCTTCATTTAACAATAAAACTACAGCATCTTTTAAATTTAACTTGTTACCCATTGTATTAGTCACAGTAGTAACCAAGGTATCCCAACTAGCAGGCAAAGAACTCAGCAAAAGCAAACATAACACTTCTTCATCCAAATTCACTTTCAAAGACCTCAATTGTGTAGAAATTGAATTAAATTCACTCACATGTGACCTAATTGTAGCACCTTCTTTCATTTGCAAAAGAAATAATTTTTTCATTGCATACATTTTATTTGCACTAGAGGATTGCTCTAAAGATTGCCAAAGATTTGCAGATGTTTTACATTGACAAATATCAAATAAAATTGATGCTGACATACATGGTCTAATAGCCAAACATTTTCGATAAAAAACATCCCATTCCCAATCTTCTATTCCAACAAGCATGGCCTGCTTACCTCAAAGTGGTCAATCTAATTCTTTTCCAACAAGATAATTGTCTATCATCATTTTCCATCTTGCCCAATTGTTTTGATTTAACTTTTCAAATTCCATTGTCCTTTCTATTTTCAACAAAAATACAACAAATAACCACAATAGCAAAAAAAGATTTTCTTCACAGACACAAATGAAGAACAAACTCTAGGCTGTGATACTAGTTTTGGGGATCGATAGGTGAAAAAACAACATGGGTTTATAATATTCACAGCTATTATACATATATCAATATAAACAAGCAATAGAAACTACACAATATCAAAGTAAGAACATGGAATAAAAAATAAAGCAACATTCAATCTACAGAGCACAAAAATTTAACGTGGTTCAGTCACAAATCGTGACCTACATCCAAGGGAGAATAACGCGAAACTTTACTTACTGATTTGGGAAGATTACAACGTGAAATCGAGCTCAAAATATCAATTTCCAACAGCTCTTGCTCACTCTAAACTGAGCCCAAAAACAAGGCTCCAAGAACACCAAAAAATGGGTTCTCTTTAACACTTTATCTCATTAAAATAGGGCACACAGCCAACCCACAACGGAGTTTAAGCTTTTTGCTCACTTTCTCTCTCTAAAACAAAGCATACCAAGCTCTCAAGAGAAACCCAAATTACAGCCCATCTCTCTATCTTTTTTCTCACTCTTTCTCTATATCCAAAAGGGTTTTATTCCTTTTAAATGAATAAAGTTCCTACAACACCACAACTATTGGATTAGATACAATGTAATAACCCAAAATAAAAGAGAAATAAATTAAATAAAACTTCTATATGTGTGATTTTTTGTAACACATGCCATCGAACCCATTGGCAGACAAGGGCAAATTCAACATATGGGCCAATCTCCTCAGAACCTCTCAGATCTCGAAGTCTGTGTGACCTTCTTAGTCCCCAGTGACCAGGGCCTTGCGCTCAAACCCACCGAGGTCACCTCCGGCCTCCTCCGCTACCACATTCTAACATGGAACTACTCCTCCTCAGGCCTCCGTAATAGGGAATCTAAAATCCTACTGCCCGACTTGGAAAGCCACTTCATCCACCTATATAAAAAATAGCAATGATTCCATCATCTTCAACAACAATTCCTCTGTGATCCACCCCGGCAACATAGCCGTCCGACAATCCACTCCACTACACTAATTATATTTTCACCCGGGCAGCTTACATACATCGCTGGATAGTCGATTATACTCCCACTGAAAGATGCGGCTGTGGTCATTACTGGTGCAACTATTGAGAAGAAGAATGAATCTGCACTTTTTTCTCCTAATTTTTCCTCTTATTTTATTTTTTCTTTTTTTTTTTTGGGGTTCCAAAGTGGATGAATTGTGACAAACAAGGATGAAGCAATTTTCCTTCTAATTCATTTTGTTTGTGGCTACAAGTGGATGAATTGTGAGAGTGCTTAGGCATAGTAGTCTTGATGCTTGGAGATTTTGTTGCATTATGTTTTAAGGCTTTTATCTACATATTTCTTACCTTTCTTATACTTGTAATTTTGAATGATAAAAATGGAAATATCAATGACAAAGATGGAAATATGAAATTGGAGTGGTGAGTTGCTCCTTTTTATTTCATCTTGGAGCCTTTTTTTGGTTTTGAAGAATACAAACTCACCTCAGAAAATTCAGCTAGGGCCAGAATCCTGCATAGGCTACCTTAGAAAATTTAAGGATGATGCCCTAAATAATCGACCACAAATATTCATTAGAATAGGTTGTTTTCATGATTTCAAGTCTGACAAATAGTGCATCTTCTGGGTCGTCAAATTTCAATAATGTTGAGTATTTATAGATTTATTTGATCTATACGATTTTCAAAACTTTAAATTTTATAATTAGATATGAACATAGATTTGTTGTAAGATTTTCGCTATTAAATATTTTGTCACGCGTATGTCCATGATGCCTCACCTATTTTTGTGTGAGGAATCCCATGGTTATTTGTTTTTTAATGCTTATTATTTCTAAAACTCTTTCTTAAATTAATATATAAAATAAATAATTAATTTCTCAATGTTTTTTTAATGTTTATGTAGGGATAAGGATTTTCTTAAGAGAAATTAATGTAATATAAATAATAAGTAATTATTTTTTCATGTTTTTCTAGTGTTCATGAATCATGTGAGATGAACATAAATATATGAAAGTTAGGAGGTTGCTGAGAGACCCATTGACAAATAGAATGTTGGGCTCATTTTTTTTCTTATAAAATTTAGAGACAGAGAGAAAATACAACTAAACTCATTTGTTTACCTAAAATTTATCTTCTCTCTCTAAATAGGGATTCCTACTATAAAATCAGAGCTATGCAATCACGGAACACCGCCTCGCTCGTCCTCACTCCAAAATTTTGCTCGCTCCAAATTTCTTCCTTATTATTTTTGGGGATCATTTCCTTTCCGCCTACTTCACGCTATTTACGTTCTTCTCTGTTGTCTATACATTGTCTTTATTGTTAAACTGTTAAAGCCTACATTTTACTATGAATTTTTTTTTGTAGCCCTATTTTCTCGCGATCTATTAAAGGAAAATAAATAATAATATAGAAACGGACGGCTCCTTTTCTCTGCAGTCAGCACCATAAGCCTGTCTCTCACCCCTTATCCTACTACTTCTTCTTTTTTTTTTTTCTTTTTTTCCTTTTTTATTATATTACCTCTTTAAAGGATCACAGGAGTTCACAATAGGGAGCACCCCTCTAGCAGTTTTTATCTTTGATCTTTTCTTTTGGGTTACTTGACATGAATGGGCACGGTATCGGACAACTAAAGTGCCCCTCTTTCACTCCCCTTAATTAATTGATTTTTTTTTTTTTTTAAACTTATGTCTCTCTACTTAAAGGGGAATGTTTTGTTTATCCAATATTGGAAGGATCACAGGGGGATCAGTAGAGTTCTTATACTCCGCCAGTTCAACTCGGAACCAGCTGGTTAAACCATACCCGGTTTTGGTGGTAGGGCAGGGTATTTAAAAAAATTAAAAAAAATCTAAAAAATTAAGGGATTTATTTCGAATGTTTTTTTTTTTTTAATATCGTTTTCATTAAAGATTGGATATGTTTTGGCCATGAATTCCACTTTTTACATTTTCCCACCCTTTTTTAAAAAAATTGAAGATACCCCTGGACACAAATTGGTTTTCTAATTTCACTACTTTTCAACTATATTTGGATGTGTTTTGTTTAATGGCAGCATTAAGTTTGTAAACCAGATTTGAAGCTAAAAACAATTTCAGAACTATTTCTTAGAAAACAAATAAAAAGGAAAAATAATGAGATTTTAGGTTCCTCCGGGACCAATTTTTTGTTTGGTCCTGCTGATCAAGCATCTATTTGGGAATTTGTTCGCGTCTTGTTTATTAAACTTTGAAATCAACTTTTAAACAAACATTTGGAGCTAAAAAAAGTGCCCTGACTAAATTCACTCTACAGGAAGTCTAATCAGCGTAATTTGATGCATGCTGTGTTTCCTTTTGATAATCCATGTGTTTTTAAGAAGTTTTAGGTGGCATAACTAGGTTGTTCGGCATGACGAGCATGAATGCAATTTGATCCAATGGTACCACAAATTGGAAAAGAAAAAGCTCCAAATTTTTTAGTGATCCATTTCTTAAATATAAAATCAAAGATTTAAAGATTTTATATTTAAGAAAATGGATGTCTAAAGCTTTGGGTGTCTGATGTGTGAAGAGTTTCACATTTATTTGAAGAGACTTCGTGTTCATTTCATCAATATGAACATTTTATAGAATTGTCTACAAATAGACCATTTATCTTTATTACAAGGATGTTACAGCTAGTTTCACTCATTAGATGTCAAATTCGATGGCTAGGGGTGAGTTACGAAGTCTGAGAATTTAGTTTTGGAACTTTGTGTCTATTTAATACACTCTTATTGTCACCCATTTTAAAATTTAAGGGATAAGAATGACTGTGACCTCCTTGTACAAAAGGTGAATGATCTCTTTGTAGATAACCCTCTTATCTTGTATAGACAAATATAGCTGACAAGAGTAGAAATAACCTTGTTTATAGATGAAAATTGCAGCAAAGAAAATACGACCTCCACCTCATTTTCGCTTGCAAACTTGTCTATAATCCGAGCAAGGGATCGGTCATCAAACCGCTCTTGTATGAATTACCTGCTTCAGGAGCGAGGAAACCAAGAATCCGCTAGAATGTTTAGAAAAGAGTTTTCTGCGAGGCTTTAGAAAAGGGTTTTGAAATAGAATGGAACTGAAATGAGGATAAGGAATAAAAGCTAACCTTAAGCCGGCCCCTAAGCCTGACACCCAAATTCGGTGGCTGGTTCAGAATCATATTTGTGTACCGATGTTTTTCTGTCCTTCAGAGTCCGTCGGGTAGAAGTGATTAGTATCGGGGAAATTAAGGCACAAGGGTATTGAAATTACTATTTAAGGATGTCAGATTTAGGGCTCAGGCTTAGGTTTTATAAGATGCGAGGATGTAGTGTCGAGTGCAGTGAAGTTTCGACTTGGGTTCGAAGTCTTTGGGGTCCTATTTATAGAAAAATGACTCTTGTCATAAAGTTTCAAGTCAATTTGAGTCGTCCATTTAGAGTGCTACAGCTGGCAAATGCCAGCATTGGCACCAACAATGCAACCACTTTTACACCATTAATCATTTTAAAGTCACGTTTACAACGCCATCACTATCGGTGAATTATTATGAAGTACATGATGCGCTTTCTTTCGCCATCACTATCGGTGAATTATTATGAAGTACATGATGCGCTTTCTTTCATAAATGTGAACATTGTTATGATGGATAGCTTTTGATCAGGGCCACTGATTAGCGGTGACATCGCACCAACGCGAGCGTTGCGGCTACCAACTCCACACTCCCATTCTCTAATTGCCTTTATTTTCAATAATTGGGGTCACAGATTGATGGTGGCACTTCCATTGACACCAGAGTTGCCGATCAATGGCACCATCCTCATTTTCTTTTTTCAACATTACCACCTCAGACGCGAGCAGGAAAGCCATTCATAATGATTTTATTTTCAATGATCAGTCCTTTTCATTTAAAAAAAACACTGTTTCGAACGTGGATGGATGTGACCCTCTCACCCAAACCTTCTCGCTCTTCGCTAACGGCTTTTTCTTATCTTCTCGCTCTAAAATCACAAAATTCAAAATCTTCAAACAAGGATTGACTCTCTCTCTCTTCCTCCTGCGATAGACATTTCCAAACTTTTCGAGATTTGTAGGGACAACTTTAGTCTCAAAGCTCTGCACTCCCTGAATTAAGTACTACAACAATGGGCAAGTAATTTGCCGAACAGAAATCAGGGATAAAGTTTTCTCGACAAAGTGGACATGTAGAGTGAGAAAGCAGCCATGTATCTATGGACTCCAGATAAAAGGCATGACTACAGTTGGGCAACAATCTTAGCTTGTCTTCTTCTTCAAACTCGCAGAGACAAACTACATAATCAAATGGGTTTTTGACGCCTATAATAGATTTGTAGAAAAAAACTTAAAAAGAAAGATTGATCAACTCCTGCATCATGGAGATGGGATAGTTGTTGCAACAAACCTTGAAAAGCAACTATATTTTCTAAATTATGTAGCAGATCATCTTTGCGGATCTCTGGCCCCTTTGGCTCTTGGATGATAGAGAGAGGGAGAGCAAGAGAGAGGTTGGAGAGAGAGAGAGAGACAGAGTTTTGGGGAAGAGAGGGAGTGGGAGAGAGAGGCTTAGGGGAGAAAAGGCATGAGAGAGGGAGAGACAGGTTGGAGGGTGTATGTGTGAGAGTTGGGGTTAATATGTTTGTCATTTTAATATTTGTTTGGGATGATAAAAGATTATAAAAAATAAAAAGGTTAAAAGGGTTTAGAGGGTTAAAAGAAAGGTTGATGGCCGTCAGATATATCTTACATTTGAGGGTCTATTGAGAAGCTGTTCACCAAACTAAGGTGTACAGAGAGTTTCGTAAATGAAATAGGTACTTATCATTAAAGGCAAAATAAGTTGTTTTTTTAAAAAAAATATTCAAGAAGAGTCCAATACATTTTATGTTTTACACTTAAAAGTTCGACTATTTTATAAAGGAAAAGTTTATATAGAGCCAGGGCTCTAAACAATCAAATTTGAACCTATATTAAAAAGTTCACTAGAAGAGGCTGTTTTGATGCCTAAATATTTTCAAAGTGATCATATTGACATCAAGATGCATGGACATAAGAAAAAAAATTAGATTTCAAGTTTTGGAAATTGTACATTTTGTAACGTATTTTTAGACTGCCAATTTTCGAGATTTTCAAGTTTTCATAGGTCTGTCGATCTACACTATTTTTGAAGCTTTGAACTTTACAAATAAATATAAAAATATATTTTTAAGGCTATCACAAAGATTTTCAATAATGAAACCACATTTCTCGACACTATCTGAAGGTAGGCTCTAATTTGATTGTTTAGAGCCTAGGCTCTATACAAACCTCACCCATTTTATAATGAATATTGTATTTTGAAATTTTTCTTTTTTATAAATATCATATTGAGCTTAAATTTTTGGTATTCAAATTTCTCACCATAACAATGACACTCGATAAAGTTTAAAAATATAATTAAAAAGAACCAAAATATCCCCACAAATTTTTAAAAACTTGAAGATATTTTGGTCATTTTGTTTATTTTAAAATATTTTTGGTATTTTTTTCAAATGTGAGATGGTGAGAAGTATCAACTTGTAAAACTAGAATCCAATAAATATGAAAGAAAGTAAAATTGAAATACAACAAAGCACTCAAAAAATGAAACTTGAGCATAAACTATAAAAATACGAGATTATTAAATGGGTGCGATTTGTATAGAGCCGAGGCTCAAAAGAGTCAAAGTAAAGCACCCTTTTAAATAGCGTCAAGAAATGTGGTTTCAATATTGGAAATCATTGTGCTAGCCTTAAAATAGATTTTCATCTCTAATTATAAACTTTAAAGCCTCAAAAACATATAGATCGAGCATATCTATGAGAACTTGAAAATCTTGAAAATTGACAATCATTTTCAAAACTTAAAATCTATTTTTTTTCTCATGTCCATGCATATTGAGGTCGAGATGATCAATTTGGGGATATTTGGATTTCAAAATAACCTCTTCTAGTGAAATTTTTGAGGTGAGCCGTAGTTTTGATTGTTTAGAGCCTTATCTCTATGTAAACTATTTCCTTTTTGTTAATGGAGATAGTGACTTGATTCAGTTGAATCTTGAAAGTAAGTTGCAATCTCATATTTGTTTAACAGTGATGCTACTTCCCACGACATACACTTATGCACAGTCCCCTCGTTTTGTACGGTATTTGGGTCATTCTCTACTCATTAAAAAACCTTTACTTCTGGATTTATTTTACAAACTCTTGTATGTCTTGGAATTGTGTTCTTTCTACCAATAAAAGTGTGCCTTTTGATTTGGTTACGTCACTCGCTGCTGCTTTGCTTCAGTTTGCATGTACATTGATAATTTAATGACAGGCACAATTAGAACGTGATATTTTCAAAAAACAAGGGAATGAAAAAAATATTATTCTGAGAAATGCGAAGAAGAAAAACCAGAAATATGTTTGGGGGCAGTTATTCTTTACCTTCTTTCATTTTCAGTTTGGTAAATGCAAAAAATAAAAAAATATAAATGCAAAAAGAAAAAGAAAAATTTTAAACATAAATTTAAAAAGTGAAAAAAGAAACATGTCTGATGAGTTATTTTTAATTTTGGTCTCAGGATTGATGAGTTGTTTTTGTTTCTAATATTTTTCCAATTTTGTTATTTATTTAGGAGTGATTTACAAATGGATCCTATTTCTTTTTGTAAAATATGAAATGCTACGTTTATAGGCAGAAATTACAAAGAATATCGGTCAACATGTTTTTTTTTTTTTTTTCAAAACTGCCCTTTGGTATGAGGATTGACTCCTCAGTCCGAATTTTAAATTTTTTTTTAGTTTTTTCTTAACAAAAAAAGTAAAATTAAAGTTCGCTTCGAGGTACAATTTTGAAAAAAATAAAAAATGTGGGTTGATTGACATTCTTTGTAATTTCTACTTATAAATTGAGCATTTCGTATTTTAGGAAAAATTTTAGGGTCCATACATAAATCACTCTTTATTTAGATATGTTTCATGGTTTCCCATAATTTTTTTTTGTATTTTTTTTTTTGAAGTTTTTCATTTTACAATTTCTATTAAGGTTGCAATTGGCATACATATGCATCTGTAGCTATAAAGGTAAGGTGCACCTTCAAATTTTATCATAGTATATAATTTTGATGT